CGGTAGGATAGATTTAAGATAGTTAACACACAAATATGCATAAGACAACTTATATAACATATCCTTGGTTACTATGACATGCCTCATATCAACAATTAACTGCTACTATGATTTTCACATATAGAACTTCGAAAATTTTATTCCATTCATGTGATATGAAAGATGTAATATTAATATGTGCTTATGTAATACATGTATGGTATGAAGTTGTGTGCATACGAGACATTAGAGGAATGACAAGTATAAGATAATCATACCTTCTTATGTTTCATTACTTACCATATGTAATTTCTCTTTACTTTCAACCATGAAATAATATATATGGCTTCTGATTGCAATATTTTCGGATGTAGGACAAGTTTGTAGATATATATAGAATTGGTTAGAGACTCGTGCTGATAACGTGTTATGACATATAACTCAAAGTAACAATATGGAACAAAGAATAAAAATAATTTAGTAAAACATGAACAAGAAATGGAGATAGAGAGAAGGAAGAGATTTTCTTCTTCAATTGTGTGTATTTTCCTATCTATTACAAGGTCTTTATATAGACATGAAAAATGAAGAAAATATGTCATGAAATATGTTATTGAACATAGAAAATATGTCAATGAATATGTCAACAAATATTTGGCATGAAAATCATGAAGTAAGAGTAGACATCCACCATGATATGATATTTATCATAACAAATATAACTTAAACTCTATTGATAATACATAACGAAATTGATTTGTTTTTTAGGTTAAGGTTCAAAATTTCGATAGTAAGGAATCTATATGCAAAATCTATAAAAGGAGGACAATATTCTCACAACTTCCAAACCTTCTGCACCAAAATTGTAATTCACCCTTTTCCTAACCAAGCAAATTCACAGTCGCCGTCACCATTCCTCAACTCAGCAACAATGGCGAAAATTAACGAAGCTCAAGTGCTCAAGGCAGTAAATGCTCTCCTCAAATGGAAGAAACTTCAATCCAAGAACCAATCTTTACTATCAGATGAAGAAGCAGAACAAGAAGAAGAAACAGAAGCTGAGGTATTAGAAGATAATTTCATTTATCTTATGTTAACTCTCAAGAAAATCCCACCAAAAGAACTCACCACCCCCCACAAAATC